TATTTAGAAAGCTCAAATATGAGAACTTGGAATGAGTTCTATGTTGAAGAAACAGAGAGAGAATGAATGAATATAACGGCGAGGCAGAAATAATAACAATAGCATCAATACTACAATGAGTGGAAAATAAGGTTGGAGAAGCAGCATAAGAGGCTTTTAGAAGAAAGAAATGACATTTTCAATCCGCTATATCTGCTTGATGCCTGGTTTGGAAGAAATTGCATCTCTCCTATGTATTACCTATTATTTTTCTGAAAATGAGCGAATAACAGAGTGTGATGAGCAGAAGAAAAAATGGCTTAAACCTTTTTAAATGCGAAAAACTTTCGCAAACAGCTTTCCGCTATTTTTCCGCTTTTTCAATTTTTGTTTCCGCTTTTTCGACATGATGAGATGGCAACCCTGGATGTAACTTTAGTCATCTCCTCGTTCTCACTCACACTCTCACCATCTAGTTTAGACGGTAAAGAATTCAGGATGTTTGCATTAATTTGCGAAATAAAAAGAAACTGTCTTTAATAGAACTTGAACTTCATATGATATAGAGTAAACTTAATTATTCATACACTTCATGGCTAAAATTACTAATTGTAACGTACTCTCGAGAAGATGTGCCACATATGCAGGATATCGAAAAGCTAGAGAAGTACAAGAAGAAGCAGGATGCACCTAACGAATTAGAAACACATAATGTAGCAACTACACAAATCATTACAACATTATGCGTACTGCTATATACACAAAGGATATCTAGACACATCTATTAATCGGACGCTATACCTCGCAGCTTCTCTCGAAGAAAAAACGTTTATTTGACACCTCACCTAGGGCATATCAGGAGACACCACATCTTGTCAAGGAGAAGTGCTCGGAGAAGCGGTATATCTTTGTGGATGCGGGATAATCGGCATCTCTGGATCTGACGCTGCTTCTCCAGTATCCTCGATATCCTGGATAGGTGACACTGATTACTATGACAGAGCAATATTTTCGGTTCATTATTGAGTCCATTATTAAGGATTTTCTTTTTTATTCTATACACATCAAATCAGTATTGTTGAGCTCTTTTATATTTGCCATACATTTATACAAAGATAAACATATTCAATAGGCTTACAAATTTGAGGAAATGAAAGCATTTTCTGAAACATAAAAATGCGAGTGCTGTCAACTTACCATCTGCATTTGTACCAGAAAATACTTCCAATACAATGATGATTAGTATGCAAAACATGGCACACGGATTCTTATTCCTTTTCCACCACATAGCTGTTTAAGAAATAGCTTTAAAATAGATACAATTAAAGTTTTCAATGTATCTAGAAAACGGAAAAAGAATTAAAATCAGTACTTTTTAAAAAGTTTTTACACATAGAAGATATTTGTTAATAACAGCACTGTTGAACAAACAGAAAACAGACAAATTTCAATCAAAGACTCTTTAGAATCAGGCGCAGAAGTCTTCAACAAGAAAAGAAAACCTTCGAACACAATGCCTCTAGAGAGAAATAAGTAACGAGATGATCAAAGATCTTTTAGATCTATATTCCTTGATATCTATAGCAGAAATATCATCGAGATTCATCTCTATAGTCTTTTTATTTTATGCTCACAAAGCAATATATGGATGCATAAACAAAATAGTTTCAGTTTCGTTGTTGAAGGTATTTAGTACAACTCGTATTGACATGAACAAAACATAGTAGGTTATTTTTATGATTTGATCTTCTCATGAAGATCATTTATTTCAAGTTGAGTTTCGATAAGCTATATCTTGACGAAGTTTTCTATTATCAAAATGTTTTTCGGTAGACTTAAAAGAAGAGTTAAAACTATGTTTAAATGATTGTTGGATATGAGTTTCGATATCAATGTTGACCTGAGTTAATGAAACTGCAGCAGTCATACCTACATGCTTCAGATCAGATAAAAATCAACTGCAAAACTTAGCGCATGCTCAACAAGTAAAGAAAACGATCTTTTGTCAAATTTATACGATAAAGAAAACTAAAACTTGTTCGTGCTTACTCTTTTTATAATTGTTCGCAAAATTTTGCAAAGACATCGGCTATCTGTGCATCCATCTGACTTCCTATATCATTATTGGTCTTCTTATTTGACTATCAGTTGAGTAGCATATCATTGTTTTGTCTGAGTGATATTTAACCATTGAAAGCTTTTTATTGCCGACGCAATCTATATGTCGCACTTGGATATATGCAAAGCTATTTTGAAGTACCTGCATCGAATGATGATTCATTTGTGCTTCTTTTTATCATCACAAATATAACTTCTCGAAAGATCAAAAGAAGTCTAGGTAATATAATTTATAACGACTATTTTCAGTTCCTTTGCCTTTCGATGACAAATTATTATTCAGAAAAGATACAATACATTCGTCATGTTGAAATGATTTATTTGGTTACGAGAATGGTTCGAAAAACCATTAATGACTGAAACGTATATTCTCTTATGTTTATTCATTAAAAGTTAAAGGAAGTAAAACTATCTATTACGGATTATATTTTAATCGTTTGAAGACTTCTAAAGTTGAACTTCAATAGCATTATTCAAAACGATCACCTTGAATTTTGAAATGAACAGTTTTCTTTGTTCTATTTTTAGAAAATGCATTTCATTCGATCGATTTAATACATTGTTTATTAGAATCGATGAATTATGAGGGCGTGGGTGTGGGTGTTAATGTAGAGTATTATGCGTCACACTCACAGCCACCCATACCAACACGCACATTGACCGATACCCACACGGACACCCACCACATCGTTCTTTACTGGATATCAACAATCAACCACTTAACATTATAGCACAAGAAGAAAACTTTGCTAGCATTCTTTATTTTGTTTCCATATCGCAATCAACTGATGAAATTTCTTCAATATCTGATGCAGTATTAAATCGATTTTGTATTGATATATTGTCCAGAATTCATAAAACTGTTAAATCACTTAGTCTTGAATCTATTTATCTGGAATATATTCTTGGTGCTGGTAACTATCCTAATCTTACTAAACTCAAACTTTTAAAGTGCAACAAAGAAATCTTTTTACGTTACTTCATAGGTGAGATATTTATATATACTGACCTTTTAAAAGATTAGTATAAAAAAAACATTGAGATACTCACATATAACAATATCTACGTATTTTATTTAGACGATTCTCTCTTTAGACATATTTGTAAAAAAATAAATTGCGAATCTCACTCTTATCATTAATGAAAACAATATTGAAATAACACGAAAAAAGTATACCAAGAATGTTTATGGAAGTATCTTGGCTTTCTTTGAAAATCTAAAGCATTTGACTATTGTTCTATCGTCTATCAAGAATTATCCAAGTTGTCGTTTTGTTTTTTTACCACCAACAACTTTTTCCTCTTCGACACTCACTGAATCATGTATCAACGTAAAAGATTTTCATGATATTCGTGCTTCATGCTATTATTGTTTTCTAATTAGTGTTTAATATCGAAGATAAAATGAAGTTAATTTGAACTTCAATAAACAATAAAATGTCTACATTAGTAAATATGATATTTTAGTTTTGATTATGAGAAAATAATTAGAAATAGATTGTTATAGTTGTTTTGACGTTATTCGAGATTAGTTCATAATTAATGAACTATTGTCGTTATTAAATTACCTGATAGAAAATATTTTGTTCTATATCTGTTCCATTAATGATGGACTTATTCATCTATTTAAAAAAGAAATAAAACATATAGCTGGTTCCAAAATAAACACTTTAATCTATCGACGTTTTTTTACAGCTTCATTTACTTAAACTGTTCAAATAAGCATACTTATTTAAAAGAACTCTTTACTAATAACCCATGTTGCGAAAACCGGATCAGTTTTTGCGGTAAACCGCGGTATCTGTGAAAGCCGCCGATATACCGCGGTTTATCGCCGGTTTTCACGTAAAGCGCGGTTTACCGGCAGTTTTCACAAATCCCGCAGTTTGTCGCGAAAATGAATCCGATAAACAGCGGTTTTTCAGTAATTTTACCGGTTAATTTTAACTGTAGCAAATCATTGTAGAACTTAAAAAGAGAAAAGATTTTATGAGCAACTACTTGTTTTAACTTGCAGCGATACTCAAAATAAGACGATTAATTTTCGTGCTATTTTAAACAGCTGCATGATTCATAAATGAAACTAGGTGAATCGCGATTGCTATAACAAAGATCGATGGTTATTTCTATATAGATATCATTTCAAACGACACTTCAGTATTTTTTATTAAACATGTGCAAATGATAGTTTTTTTCAATTACGGGGCACTTATTTACATCAATAGAACCAACGAGTGTAGCTTATATGGTAAAGTTGAAATTATATAAATCTCTCTATTAAAGAGAGTGATACACTAAAGTTCAAACTTCGCGTAGAAACACAGGTATTGTGTAAACATAGGCTTGGGATAATGCTTCCAGCGTAAAAGTACTATTCATTTTCGATTCTATTAATACAGAAATAAATTCTCAAAACAATCTCTTCAGCCCTATTCCAGTATTTCAAATATCAAAAACCAAAAGGTCTTGTCTCTTTGCGAACAGTCTAAGTTTTAAGCAGGCAAAAACGATCTGGTGAAAGCTTATTTTTTGCATTATCTGTAGAATGTTTTTTGGTGATACACTATTAAAAGATGCAATATAAAGCTAACAACATTTATGATCGTCGAATAGTAAGGGATAATTTTAAATGTTTGCTGTCAGAATGTATGAAATACTAGTATTCGTACTTTATGATTGCATTTACAGAAAGTTCTCATTGTTGCATAAATAAAAAAACGGGCAAAGTTTCATCATTTCAGTAAAGCCGGATGCTTTGATGCTTCACAACGTGGCTGTATACTCACTTATCAACCTCAGTTAATTCTGAAGACGATAGAAGCTGATCTTATCTTTTTAGATGTTTTTTCTATACATATATATATATATATATATATCAAACTATGCTCTCGTTTTTTTTAAAAATGTTTCAATCACTTATAGACTACAAGCAAAAAGTTGTATTTCGCCGTCAACGACGCCGAAAGCAACGTGAAATCACTAAATATATTATTGATTATCATCTTTCAAGTGAAGAATCAACCAATGATGATATACCCGATTGTAATATGTCAAGCAACAATGACAATTCGACTCCATTGGATACTACAACGTGTTTACCTTCTTTGCAGAATGACCATTACAATGAAGCAACATCTCGAATTGATTATACAATAGACGATGATGAAATATTAAAAGATGATTTATTCGACTGTCATAGCGACTTATCAACGCCTTTATATGACAGCGCACATATAACCGTGAAGAAGGCCACTTCTCAATTAATGAATTTTGTTATAGAATCAAACCTAGACAAATCAACAACAACAAAATTATTCAGATTAATAAAAAGTCTATTACCTGTATCCAACACATTACCAAGTACTTATAATCAAATCATGAAGGTTTTGGGACAAGTGTCACTCTTCCAGGCAAAATATTATTGTAATGGATGCCATCAACTATGTATTACACGAAACAAAAAAAAAAGTATGCGATAATCGTAAGTGTGTATTCTCTACTTTATAACTCAAAACCCACGACATTAGCGAAGTTGTCGATCTTGATATTCCATCACAACTTAAAACGATTATTAGTCGAAATTTCTCTCTTTTCTTTTGTGAACAAAAACTTTTTCGAAATTTCGACGTGCCTCATGGAAGCCAATATCAATCTGTAACAACATCTAACAACTACAAAAATATTTTAATTATTCACGCCGATGGCGCTCCTCTTGTTCGAACCACAAAATCTTCATTGTGGCCTGTGTTTGGTTCCATTGTTGAATTACCGTATCAAGTAAGAGAATTTCAAAGTAATATTTTAGTTTTAGCTTTATGGGCGTCGTGCCAGAAGCCCAACGTCGATCTTCTGATGAAGAATTGTATCACTCAATTACTCTAATATGAAAATAATAACTTAACAATTACGATTAATGGTATTGAAATGAGTATCAATATTCGACGTCAAATGTTCATTGCTGATCTTCCAGCTAAATCCCTATTTATGAAAACTATCAGCTATAATGGTTATTCTGCCTGCACTGTTTGTATGGCTAAAGGTAAGATGGTTCTGTTTTCGCTTTTCGTTCTTTAATTGATAATAGTAAGATTGACAAAAGTTGATTTAGCGCGACACTGATGAATAACAAACTAAAGTAAATCAGCTTGAGTTGAATATAAGAGGATCCATGCCAGATTGTCTTGTAAGATTATATTATGAATAGTGTATTATAAATCATGTTTCTTTCCATGTCAGTACTGTGAAGTGTGTATATATATTTGTTTCTGAAATAGAAGCTCAACAATGAATGGAGTATGATGTTTTTCTTGAGATAAATCATTAAGCATAGTTTTTCCTAAGAACGCAGATTGATTACATACTTAAAGTTTTAGAATGGGCTTTCAATACCAACTGTATTTGAAATCAGATTCTATAATTAATGAAACCTTGAAGTCTTCCATCACTTGTCCTTCGATTAATTGTTATCTCAGAATTCAATATAGTTGAGTACAATATATAGTTAATACTTGTGTACCTTATGTGTGAAGTAAATAACAAAAATTGTATGAATTCTATTGACAGCAAATCATCGAAGTAAAAATTTAATCTTCTCGGTTTCTAATTTCAGGGGCATGGAAAGGACAAGGTGTATATCCATATGACCAAAATAATGGTTCTCGTCGAGTTCATGAAGAAGTAGTTTCATCAGGCAGAGAAGCTGAACAAAGACTGATGCCTATCGATGGAATAAAAGGTGTATCGCCAATGCTGCAGATTCTAACTTATCCAGATCAAATTATTTACGATTATATGCATCTGGTATGCTTAGGCCACATGGTTACATTAATTAAACGATGGTTGCCTCTTTTAGAACGAAGTAGCTTGGCTGAAATAAATACTCTACTCGAATCGATTCGCCTTCCTCATAACGTTCATGCCAAATTTAATTATTCTATTAGTGACGTATCTGAATGGCATGCAAAACACTTCAGATTATTTGTATTAAACATTGGATTGCCTTGCATTGTTCCTCATCTACCTAAATTTATTTCATCACATTTTGCAATTTACTGTTTAGCTATCAAATTTTTGCATTGTCCGGAATCACTTGATGAAATCAATATCGCAGATTCATTCATCGATTATTACTGTCGTGCAGCTCCATTAGTTTTTGACCAATCAATTGAACTTTTATCATTGCATGCACATTTACATTTAGCTGAACAAGTGAAAAGACATGGTGGACTTGGATTTTCCTCAGCCTTCTGCTTTGAATCTTGCATTCGGCATTTGAAAAAATTGGTACACGGTACTAAAAATCTAGTATCACAAGTGGCATACTGTTGTGATCTTCGTTCAGCTGTACATCGTCCAGAATTTCGTCTGCAAAAGTCGACAGGTAAGAATAACATTTTGATGACTAGTGTAAGAATTGACAAATATCGATCTATATTAGGGTGGGGTGTGGGTGTGGGTGAGAGAAGAGAAGATCCGTACCCACACCCACACCCACACCCACACCCCACACCCACACCCACATCCACACCCTCTCGTCACTCTTCTTTCCAGAAAATAGTCACATAAGGTCATAAAATGCTTCATCTCGACGGGTCATTATATTGAAAGCAAGTGATTTTATATCTACATTTAAATATTTCGACGAAGGTATATCAATAACAGCAAAAATTGAGAAATGAACAGTATGTGTGTGAGTTTGTGGCAAAAGATGGTAATGAAGTGAAAACAAAAAGAAAAAGAAATATTTATATTTTTCCGTTTTATTTTGTGTCACATAAGCGTGTGAATACACGACAAGAGAAAATAATGATATCAATGTTATCTGTCAGCTAACTGTTCGTTAAAACTATCTTGATTTATAGGACATACGACGATATCTATTATAATGATATAAATTATTCTGTTTTAATACCTAAGTGACGATTATTTCTTGCTGTTTTTAAAAAAATCACTGTATTCTCAATGATTGCAAATGATTGTTTGGATTCCAATCAGCTGTTTCTCCCTTGTATTTAACGAACTTTAATATCATAATTAAGAAAAAAAAATTACCTCAAAAAAAAACTTACTTGCTTCATCAATAATATCTTCATTCTCAGTAGCTATAAAAAGAAAACATTAAATAAAAAATTAATGAAACGTATTCTTTTAAAATTCATGGATGGCGCACCTCAGTCAGTTTCTCTTCAACAATACCAAATAGAGCTTTTATAAATTACAATAACAATGCATAAATTTATTAAAATAAGCGATAAAGCACAACAATAATTATTCGGTGTACTGGTATCGACAAATATTAATATTCGCGGTAAGATTAAAAATCTAATAAAGATAACAATTTTATTGTATTCCAGTCCCATTGCCTTTCATAGTTAGAGATGAAAAGCTTGCTCCTAATTTAGTCTGGATGACACTTTCGGCAAATACATCGCTTCTCAGGAAATTCACGTTTTTTCGTTCTAGCAATTCATCTCCAGTTGTCATCCTTTTAGTTCCTTCAGTTGCCACATTCTTCTCAATTATTCTCTTTCCTCATAAACACTAAAGAAAGTAAAGGGTACACGATTTATTAGACTAGAGCAATTTTGATCATTTTTGGGCGTCTCGGTAAATTATATCTGAACTAATCGTATTCGCAATAAATTTAATATTTCTCTCTACCTCAGTCCAGTCATAGCTGTATTTCTTGTAAATCTAATTTCGTTTTATTCAGTTCCAGCCTGGTCAGCGAGATCGACATTAAAACTCGTCTCATACATTTTCAGAATCATAAATATTATCTTTATGTTTCCCTTTTCACTACCTATGTAAAAAAGACAAAAAAATCTGATTAAAATCAATTATTATGACAAGGTTTTAATTCTCTATATTATAGGCCGAAAAAAACGATTATATATGCAGCAAAGAAGTCGACCTTATTTTTAGTAAATACTGTTTCTGATCCCGTATTGATTGAATATCCATGCTTTTTCGTTATGTATTCCCATACCTGGATTTATCCGCCTCTGTTCAGCAAGGGCATAGGTTTGTAGAGAATTTAATTCTCTATCCTATTGACCGAAGAAATCGCTTATATACCTAGGGGAAAAGACTATTCGAACAATCAATCTTTTCTCCCTAAATGAATACAGTGTACTTTCAAGTAGTAAAAAAAATTTTCTTATTATTAACTTGCGCAGAGTCGCTTTAGAAACTCATAATTTGTAGAAGATTTAACAAATCTAGTGTACTAAACCCCCTCCTGCATTAGAAGACCCCCCACATTAGTAGACCCCCCCCATAATACAAGACCCCCCCTGGACAAAAATTTCATCAGGCGTAATAGAAGACTCCCCTTTAATTAATTAATTTTTTGCTAATTAAAAACTTTAATTAGGGAATTTTCGTCCAGAAGTGCACAGTTTTTAGGTTTTCTAGCTGGAAATATTTAGACAGAGGATTCAAATGTATCCCTCAACCCTCAAAACCGTGAAAATCGCTTTGAGAATCCTGAAAATCGCTCTGGCTTTCTGGAAAACCACATTTAGTTAATAATTGCTAAAAAACCTAGGACATAATAGAAGACCCCCCTGAGAAATTTTTACGGCGAAACATAATAGAAGACCCGGGGTCTTTTAATGCAGGGAGGGGTTTAGTTGACGACGCGAACAGTGCTGAGGTGCCGAAACGATACTCAGATACCGAAAAAGATACTATGTTGGTCATAGAATTTTGGAAAACAAGATACACATTATGGTCATAGCGAGAGGTGAGACTAATAATATTGAAACTCAATTTTTTCGGCCAAGAAAAACTATTTGGAGATAATAAGGAGCTTTTATAAAACTTTATCAAAGATTTATACTACTCAACGAATATATATATATTGATAGTTTATTGAAATTGTCGGACTGGATCCGTCGATCAAACGAGAAATATAGCAAGAAAATGAATCAATTTTTATAAAACTTGACCGAAAGTTTTCTGAGTCGCCAATTCTAGGTGTGGGTGTCGGTGTGGAGTGTGGATGTTTTCTTCACTCACATCTACATGCACCTTGAGACACAGATTCACCTCACATCGACAACAACACACGCAGCCACACCCCACAACCACGTCCGATTTAAATAACAATGCGCTTTATCGCATCATTCCTGCACTAATTTGCCGAGTATGTATTGTTGAATGAGTTTAAAATGCTAAAGAAAACATCTATAAAAAAAAGCAAAAATTGCATCCATGAAGTCATTGAAAATCAATCAATCGGAGAGTTCTGTTTTAGAAATAGCTTCAATAATAGAATAAAATCCATCTGTTCGATATAATTGTTTAAATTCATAACCGCTCAATTTGAGTAAGTGGACGTATTCATCTTTAGTTCTTTCTTTGGCGCCCGTATTCGTTAACATTTCCATATCTGTTGCTCGCGCTTCCCAATTATTGATATCGTCGGATAACAAAATCATTTCTACAAGGAATATTGTCACATTGTTGTACTGAGAATTTCTATTAGCCATACGAATCGATTTTAATATATTCACCGACTTCTCATCATCCCAATCATGTATAATAAACTTCAACATGTATGAATCGGCTGCTGGTATCGTTTCGAATTTGAACATATCACCTGCTATGAATCGATAACGATTGAATTCTATTCCTTTCTGTTGAAAAGTGTGGGAGCCCGTCTTCTTTGCATTTTCAATGACGTGTTCTAAATCGAAGACGATTCCGTTCAATTTAGGATATTTTTCCAGAATAAAAGCTAATAGAGTTCCTAATCCACCGCCCACATCAACTAAGGTTTCGAATCGACTAAAATTGATGTTTCTAGCCATAGATGGTACCACATAGTTTGAAGATGCACTCATTGCATTGTCAAACATATTTGAGTAGTCTTGATTTTCTTCTCTTTGCAGGTAATCAAATAAACTATCTCCAAATGCTTGCTCGAATCCATTTCCATTGCTATAGCCATGCCGAATTAAATCCGGAAGATATCTTGACGAGTGATCCATAACGGGTCCGAAATGTAATCGAATCATATCTCTGGCTTTTGATGGGTGATTTGTCGTTAAAAATAATCCACTATTTGTCAACTGAAAATGATTCTCATGTTCAGGATTCATATTTCGATGTGAACCGTCGGTATTTGTGATGCACTGTTGGACAATGTCGGCATCAGAAATAGTTTGCAATAAACGATACACAAATCCGATATTCCAGCTATTTCCATTCAATTGGCTTAATTTAGCTGCAGTTATTGGCGATTTGTAATCGGCCATAAGATCAGCTATGCCTAACTCGGCAAAAGCCCACAAAGCTCGTTCAAAAAATCGGTGACATATAAATGATACGAACTTCGGTAAACCTTGAATCACTAATGGAGATAAAACAGTATCTTTTGCCTGTTCAGTCATCGATAATATAAATCAATCTACGAACAGAATCAATCAGACAAAAACATAAAAAAGTCAAATTCGAATGAACCGATCGATGAACCTTTTCAATATGTGTTTATCAATCAGATGTCGCTGTCCTAAAACTCTTTCAAATGATATTAATTGAAGAGATTTAAAGAAAACATAAATTAACCGTGTCGTGATATTCATGATACATCAGATAGTAATGCTGCAGTAGTAGAAAAAGAAAGATACAGAAAACTCATTCTTCACAACCCTTACTATGCTTGAAGACGACAACCTTTTCGCATTGTTGAGTACCAATTATAACGGCTGGTGTATAAAGAATGACTTTCCCAGCATATTGCATCTATTTCTATAGTATTATAACGTCAAGAAGCAAAGGTTTTTTAAACATCGCGTTTTTTCATTCTCTATAATCTTATATATTTTAAATGATTCGATTAGAACTCGTTACTTTAGAATCGACGATGAATGACGTATGTATTAAGCCCACAACTTTCAAAACCATTTTTTTCAATTTTCTATTCAACGTGTTTGAACTCTTGAGTAAGTTTTTCTAATCTCTCATTTGGTTTGAACCGACAAACAATAAAACCATATCACTAATGAAGTGTTTAAAAAGTTTCAAAGACTATTTTTAATACACGAAAATGTATCCTAATGCTACTGCTATTCATGTTTGTAATGGTGGATATGGTTTTTATCCCGGTAAGTAAAATATTCATACATTTAAGCAGGAGCATATCAAAGTTGTTGAATCGACGATTACAAGAAACATGTTTAGATACTGGGCATTTACTGATCATCTTTCGAAATTGTTTAAAGATTTGACAAATCTAAACAAAGCCATAACTAGAATTTTGCTTATGAACAGCATCAACATTAGGATACATTTTCGTGTATTTACAATAATATCTATTCTGAGATGAATAAATCGACTTTGAAAATTTTAAAATATTTCATTAGTGATATGTT